ATTTTCTTTCAGGATTAGCTATAATAACAAAAATTAGAAATAGCCCAAATGTCCGACAATAAATAAGAAAATATGATGCATAAACTATGGAAGTTTACATAGCAATTAAAAATAATCATGAAAGCGAAGCATAAAAAAGGTACTCAGAACAAAATATTAAGAAAAAAAGCACATGAAATTGTTTTTGTAATAACAACTGTAATAAGCTCCAATACTTTGGCCACTTGATGCGAAGAGCCGACTTCAGGGTCAGAAAAGACCCTGATGCTGGGAAAGAGTGAAGACAGGAGGAGAGGGGACGACAGAGGACGAGATGGTTGGGTGGCATCACCGACTCCATGGACACGAGTCTGAGTAAGCTCCGGGAGATGGTGAAGGACAGGGAAGCCTGGCGTGCTGCAGTCGTCCATGGGGCTGCAGAGAGTCAGGCACGACTAAGCAACTGAACAGCAAATAATAGCTATATAAAGATATGTAGGCACTTGGGAAGATCTTGGAATGGAATATTTTTCAAATTTGTAACTTCCTCTGATATTATGATATATTTTTGTAAAATATCTCAAATGGGGAGAAAAAATGATAGCTAGTTGAGATATTTACTTAGTAACTGAGACCATATTGGGCTATAACGATTAGATATCCTGCTTTTTTTTTTCTTTCTATATTTTGAAACAGATAATTGAATAATGTGATTTATGCTTTAATCCACAAATTTTTATTTTTCTCCTTGTTGCCTTTCATTAATTTATTAGTCCATTAGTTAATCTCCAACAGTGGTAGCCTTCTTTATTTTCTGCTTTTCCTTAATCAGAAATTTTTTCAAGTCAGAAAAATGAATATTTTTCTTTGTCTGCTTTTCAAGATATAATATTAGTTGAATCATATGAAATTATCATTTTTGTAGGTCTCAAATGAATGTCGAAAATTTCTTATGGTCCAATCAGAAATTTTAACGATGGTAGGATTTTATCTTAGACCATCCTTATAAATCATTTTAATCAGTCTGTTTATTCAAACTGCCTTGTTCCCTCCACCAGTTTAATTTTTAAAGTACTTTGTTTTACACTAAGTTCTCTAGAAGAAAGGTCTACATAATGCCCCTCCATAAACCATTAAAGTGAATTTAATCACACAGAAAGGTCTAGATTTCATTCATTCACCCACCCTTTTAATTTACTCAACAAATATTTACTGTGTGTGATCTCTGCTTCAAACACTGTGCTAAGTGCTTGGATATATCTCTCTCTGAGCAAGATTAAAGCATATTTTCCCTCAGAAAACATAGATTGTGTTTTAGACTGGAAGGAGTAGTTGTGTATGTGCAGTGACTAAAAGATCATTTTGTTTCAATTAACAGATCAAATGACCAGTTTGATTATTTTCTAACCAAATGGACTTTATGCTTTGTCAAATGGGTAAAATCTACAGTCACTTTAGTGTTGAAAAAAACTAACCTAGGCCCAAGCAGAGGAGAAATTTATTTCGAAGTATTGCTGCTATTTATTTAATCAGTTAGCTGTGCGTGAAAGTCGCTCAGTCTTGTCCAACTGTTTGCGACCCTGTGGATATACAGTCCGTGGACTTCTCCAGGCCAGAACACTGGAGTGGGTAGCCTTTCCCTTCTCCAGGGGATCTTCCCAACCCAGGGGTTGAACCCAGGTCTCCGGCGTTGCAGGCGGACTCTACCAGCTGAGCCACAGGGAGGCCCCCATGGGTGAATAAGGCTCAGGAGACAAAGGATTACAGAGTGTGTTTGGACAACTCTAAAGCAAGACAGTTCCCTCGTGGTGCCTGAATTCTTTGAAATAAAACAGAAAACACCACACTCAGGGATTCCTGAAAATAAAAGTGCATATCCGATTAAAAAAAATAAACTTTTTAAAGACAAAGGAAAATATAAAATGATTTTTTAAAAAAGATTCAGCAGTGGTTACTCATCTAAGCAACAGTTTCGCGGCTCTTTTTCTGGGGAATGTTTTGTAGCAGTAGATGTGTAAATAGGCTAGCAAATCTAAGAAAGGCCATGGTAGAAAATGAAGCAGATCATGTGGATAAGCAGAGCCAGATGAGCAGAAATCAAAATAAACCACTGGCGAAAGTGCCATCCATGAAAAACTTCCTGGCATCCTGGCGTCACTCAAAAGTTTCCCTCAAGCACAGCCCCAAGCAGCTTAAGCAAAGGTCTGATTGCAAAGAGTGTTCATTTAAATACCCTGGTCACTGTGCATCCACACCAACCATTTGGCTGAAATTCTGGCTGGCCACCCTGACCAGTGATGACCAGGCAAACTGTGTTCTAATTTGCTCCTCCTAACTACTTCTATATATTAGTCATATTTTCACTTTGAGGGAATATCCCCTAGAGAATAAGTGTCTCCAAAAAATAAAAATGGTTGCTGTAATGCTCATCCTATGACCCAGCGAAGGTTTGACACTTGTTCACAGTCGGGCCTACCACTGGCAGGGATCACCAATGTGTTCCTAAGCTGTTACAGGTATGCTCAAAAACCAAAAGAAGGGTGAACTGGATCTCAACGGATGGAGAAAATGTCCAGTGCTGCTCTACAACACAATCAAAAGCAGATTAAGAATCCTAACCATGGGTTTCCATTTCCTGTCACTGGGAGGTGAAAACAAGAAAACAGTCCAGGGTTTGATAGTAATAAAAATTAATACAACTTTTATGTATTGACTGTTTAGTAAGTATCAGGCACGCAACATTTACTTCTCGTTTGCACAACTCTGCAATGAAGGTTATTCTTACTTTAAAGGTGGGAAAACTGAGGCCCAGAGAGGTTAAGTTACTTGCCTAAGGTTGTAAGCTGAAAAACTGGCAACACTGTGGTTGGCCTGACTCTTCCCACAACGCCTTTTCCTGAGACTCTGTGTCAACGCTGCATGGACCACTGTAGGGTAGTGACCACCTTGGTGTTGAAGGCACTGATGAGTTGAGGTCTCTGCAGACAAAACTCTGCCCACACCATTAGGCACTCCATCTTAATCTCTTTCAGCTTCAAGTGACTGTCTTAGCAGACTCACCCAGGAAGACTTCCTCAGGTAGACAGACTGGGGCACTATTTGCTGTGATCTTAATGATCCGGGCAATTGCAAGAAACAAATGGAAAAGTCTTAGTAAAAAGAAGAAGCCTTAAAAGGGCTTGGGGAGTAAGTAACTTAATTGAGCGAGAAAAGAAGGAAGACCGCAACTCAAATTTCATCAGCAGCCTTTCCTCCAAAGGAAATCATAAAGCATGTCTTCTCAGCCAACATGGGTGCTTTTTGTGGCCCTTGGTGTTAAAGGCCTCTCTAAGCCTCCCTTGCCCTTCCCTCAATGAGGCTAGGAGCCCCATCTAAAAACAGCTGAAATTTCAATCTCCAAGCTGGCAAAGCAAGTGACTTTGAAAGGCGAAGCTAAAGCTTTTTCTTCCTGTACACTGCTTGTGGAAATGGGCATGGCCCCCATCTTGTCTCCTGGGTGGGGTTTTGTTTACCACTCCTGGCAGCCACTGCCACTCAAGCAGCTTTTCTTTTCTAATGCTATTGCCCCTGCCTTAGCTCCGAGGCTCAAAACTTCAGATGGTGAAACCATCTCCTGAGTATAGTCCCCCAAACTTGAAGCCCAGGGCCTGAATCTACTGCTGTCATCTGTTCCCTCTGAAGTCACTGAATTCACAGGCTGCTATGGCGTCATGGGTCCTCCCGCGCCCTGCACACAAGGACGGGCTGCTCTGGGCTCGCCCTGGTGTCCCACCCCACAGCAGCACGTGACCCATACCCAGCAAGCCCTTTTCTGAGAAGAGGCTGTGTGGTACAGAAAACCCCGTGATTACTTGGTCCTCGAAGCCCCCAAGGCCCTAGGCCAAGGCTGGGCCATGTTCTCTGGTGGGAACGAAAGTGCCAGGGCTCTCCTGCTCTCCCACCACTGTTGCCAAACACCCTCCCTCGCTGAGGTGAGCTGTAAAGTGGAGAAAAGGCCTTGGCTTTTGACCACTCTCCCAGTTTTTTAGATTCAAATACAACTTGTCCCATTTCTTGTAAAAATGCCGAGATGTCAAACCCCAGACAGAATCCATTTCATCTTCTTCTCACTTATTATTATTATCTGAGCTAGAAAACACAGCGGGAATGAAAGGGTTGTACAAAAGCTAGTCTCCGGGGACTGAAATGAAGTGAGGAGTAAGTTCTCTTGTCGGTTGGTTGTTCCTTGTGGTCGTGACCTAACAAGTCACATCCTCTCATCTGTCCCCTACGTTCTGTCAGCATCTCTGGCTTTTTGGCCTGAGACAGAGAGCTGCCTAAAGCAAGGGGCAGTGGGTGAGTCACGGAGCCCGGGGTGGGTGTGTCATCAAGCGGCCCTTGGCTGTGGGGTGCGGAGGCAGCCATGTCAGAGCTGAGGGTAGACGTGGGCCTTGAAGAAGGCCACTTCCCTCCTTCATTAACCCAGTCAGTGCCTGGCCTATGGGGATGCTTCAAGTAAGCCACGGTCATGACCCTCTCTGCCCAACAGCACATGAAACATTCTTTGGTGGCGAAGCAGGAAGGTGGCCGAGTGACGGAGCCAGCAAGGTAGTAAAAGAAGAATACACAAAGACTCGGGAAATGCTTCAGCACAAAATGTGGCCCGGCTGATGTTTTCTGGCTCCTTCCAGCTTCTGTTAAGTTCTCCCTCTCCTCTGGTCCACTCAAGTCCTGCCTCAGTTCCTCCTCATCCTTCCCCATCGCAGACTTTTCTCTCTCCTTTTATCACTGGAAAAATCCATACTTCACACAGGTCTGTTTTCAAGCTGCTGACTCGAAGCTAATTTCCAACTTGGTCATAATGAAGCAGATGTCTCTATAGAAACAGACCCTTCACTGTTCAGCTGCCCATTGCTTTGGGGAGGGCAAGATTTAAAGGAGACATTGGCTCTTCTCCACGTCTCTACTATCTCCCTCCACCCCACACACATATGTACAAAGGGTTTCTAAAAGTTCATTTCCATCGATACATCCAGCCTTACCTGTAATTGGGAACTGTGCCTGCAGGATGGTCACAATAGCAAGTGCTGTCCACTTCATCTTGTCCTTCCCCAGGATGGTGCCAGGAGGCAGAGGCTGAGGCAGCTGTGACTGGATGAAGAAGAGAAAAGGAGTCTGCTGGCTTTGTTCTGCTGCTGCCGCCTCAGGAAGTGGAGGACGATGGGCCTTTGAGAAGGCACCTGCCAACCGGGCCAAGAAACTCACACTCCCCCTTTCGGTTCACAGGCAGGAAGCTCTGGAGGTTTGAGGGTTTGGGGTGTGTGTATGCATGTGTGTGTGTGTGTGTGTGTGTGTGTGTGTCTGTCTGAATTTTTGCTTTTTTTTGGTCTCCTTTAACCATTGTTTTATTTTCCTTCTTTCTAATTTTTGTCTGAGTGATAGTTGCTCAGTCATGCCTGTCTCTTTGTAACCCCATTGACTGTAGCCTACCATGCTCCTCTGTCCATGGAATTCTCCAGGCAAGATTAATGGAGTGGGTTGCCATTTCCTTCTTTTGGTCTAATTTTTGTCTAATTCTTTTTGTCTAATTTTTATCTAATTCCTATCTTGATTGGTGTAGTCAGCCCCTAAGCAAATACAAGTTACCAGCGCATTTAAGAATGTTCGCTGCTCCCCTAGATTCATGTATTTTATGGTGGTTGGTGAGACAACAGAGCTCTAGGTTCAGAGTTGGGTAAAATGTGGAGATGGAATACTCGGATCTCAGTGCCACCTCTGCTATCTGCTTGCTGTGCGGCCTTGAGTAAGTCACGCAACATCTCCAGACCTCAGCGTCCCTGCCTATGAAGCAAATTGCTGAGGATGCAGATCTTAACTTGGCTGGAATTTGGACCATAGAAAACAGAAGAATTCACATAATACTTCAAACACGTTTGTTATTTGACAGCATCTAAACATTGAACCAACTTACAATAATAAAAAAGATTCATACTGATAAATAAACTTAATAGAAAGTGTAAGATATATGTGAAACAAACTTTCAAACATTACTAAAGAATACAGAAAGGACTTGGGTAAATGGAAAGATGTATCTTGGTCTTTGATAGAAAGCTTCCTTTTAAGAAGCCCACGATTCTCTCTAAATTAATCAACCCATACTTCTACAAACACCAACAAAAGTTTTAGCACAAGATAACCTTGGTTGAAAGTTTGCATGAAAAATTAATGTACAAAAAATAGTGAAGACTCAAAAAAAACACAAGCAATCAAAGAAAAAAATAGGTAAATTGGACTTCACCAAAATTTAAAACTTTTGTGCGTAAAGGACACTATCAATAAAGACAATCCACAGAAAAAAATAGTTGTAAATCAAATATTGATAAAGGTATAGTATTCAGAATATATAAATCACTCCTACAACTCAACTAGAAAAAAAAGTAAAAATCTGCCAAAGATTGGAATAGACATTTCTCCAACAAGCACATGAAAAGATGCTCAATATCTTTGGTCACTAGGAAAATGAAAATCAAAACTACAGTGAACTATTACTTCGCACACACTAGGATGGCTAAAATTAAAAAACACAAAGTGTTGGTAAGGATGTTAAGAAATTGGAACTCTTGTACATTACTGGTGGAAACATGGGAAATTTTCCTATGGAAAATGTGTGACATTTCCTCAAAAATTTAAATAGAATTATCACACAACCCAGCAATTCTACTCATAGGCATATACTCAGGAGAATTGAAAACATGTGCACATTAAAACTTGTACGTGAATGTTTATAACAGCATTATTCAAAATAGCCCCAAACTGGAAACAACCCCTATGTCCATGAACTGAGGATAGATAAACAAATCATATATCTGAACAATAAAATATTATACTTGCAATGTGGTTGAAACTTGAAAACAGTATGCTAAACAAAACAAGCCAAACACAAAAAGACCAAATATTATATGATCGCATTTATACAAAATATCTATAATAAGCCATAGAGACAGAAAGTAGATCAGTAGTTTTCAGAGGACAAGGAAAGGGGAAAATTGGGACTAATTCTTAATAGGTATGAAGTTTCTTTTGAGAATGATCAAAATGTTCTAGAACTAGATTGTTGTGATGATGTATGACACAGTGAATATACTAAAAATCACTGAGCTGTACACTTTAAAATGGTAGACTCATGTGAATTACATCTCAGTACAAAAATAATGCTAAATAAGCAAAAGAACAGCCAGGAAAACTCTGTAAAAGAGGAGCAATGAGTGTGAAATAACCCTGCAAAACATTGAGCATACAGAGTGGCATGATTAACATATAGTAGTTGTGATCTTATAGACTCAAACATACATGGTCAATTGGTTTTTAATAAAGGGACTAGGAAAATTCAAATTTTATAAAGGGACTAGAGAAAAATAATTGGTAAATTTGACTTCATCAAAATTAAAACTTTGTTCATTGGAAAACACCATTAAGAAACTGGAAAAGCAAGCCATTGACTCAGAGAAATTATTTGTAAACACATATATCAGACAGAGGACTTATATCCAGAATATATAAAGAAATCCTTCATATCAATAATAAGATGATTAAATCAACAAGAAAATGGATAAAATATTTGAATAGAAAATTCCTCAAAGAAGATAAATGGTCAGTAAGCACATGAAAAAGATGCTGAACATCACTAATAATTAAGGAAACACAAAACATAATGAGATACCACTACAGACCTACTAATATAGCTAAAATTAAATAATTGACCATATCAAGTGTTGACAAGGATATGGAGGAACTGAAACTTTCATACATTTGATGATTAGAATGTAACATGATACAATTTTGGAAAAAGTTTGGCAGTTAATGAAAAAGTTAAACATACGTCTAATATATGATTCAGCCAATTCACTCTTAGGTATCTACCCAACAGTAAAGGAGATATATTTCCATACAGAGATTGATACGTGAATAGTCATAGCAACTTTATGTTTGTAATAGCCAAAACTGGAAACCACCCAGGCATCCATCACTAAATATATGGATGAACTATGATGTATTCATAATGAGACAATACTTGATAATGAAAAGGAGTAAGCTGTTAGTAACAAAACAACACGGGTGAATCTCAAATCATACTGGGTGGAAGAAGCCAGGCAAAGAGTAAGTAAATCTTGAGTGATTCCATTCATGCACAATTCTAGCACTGTCATAGGGGCTTAGTACCTTTACACATAATAAGTAGCTAAATGTTGTTCAGTTACAACAAACACTATTTTTAAATTTTTTATTGATTTTTGGCGGCACTGGGTCTTCATTGCTGCACACACGGGCTGCTGCCTAGCTGTTATACTCGGGCTTCTCAATGTGGTGGCTTCTCTTGTTGCAGAGCACAGGCTCTCGGGTGCACGGGAGCCTTCAGTAGTTGTGCTGCAACATGTGGACTCTCCCCGGACCTCTGCATTGGCAGGCAGACTCCCAACCACTGGACCACCAAGGGAGTCACAACAAATACTTTTTGAGCTCCTACAATGTGCCAAGCACTGTGCTATAATACTGAAGACATGACTGAGTAAAATCTTCACCCTCATGAAGTTTTCAGGCTTGTAAGGGTCTAAAAACATATCAGAAAGTGAGTAACAGAAAATTCATAGAAAAGGAAGTAGCAAATGGCTTTTTAAAATGTTTGTTTGTTCATATATGGCTGTGCTAGGTCTTCATTGCTGGGCATGGGTTGCTCATTTCAGTGCCTTCACTTGTTGCAGAGCGTGGGCTCTTGGCGTGCAGACTTCAGTAACTGTGGCACACAGTTTAGTTGCCAGCATGTGGAATCTTCCCACACAAGGGTTGAATACATGCCCCCTGCATTGGCAGGCAGATGGAATGCCACTGGAATGCCAGGGAAGTCCTGGCTTTTAAATGAATGAAAAATCCTCACTATGACTCCAAATGAGATAAATCAAAATTATAACTACAGTGAATACACATTCTTACCTATTATATTGGTACCAACCCCTCTCTGGGTTCTATTTTCTCTTGCCTCTCAAGGACCTTATTCCAGAAAATTTCTCTTCTTTCTCCTTATCTCTTATTATCAATATACAAGCATGTTATTTCTCCCATCTTTAAAAAATCCCTCAAATATTTGAGAAACCTTTGCGCATTGGAACTTGCCATAACTTTTGGTGCCGTGGGAATCCAAAAAGTGAATCCACGCTTCTACATATGAAGAAGGCTGGATTAGCCTGCTGGGGACACAATTCAACTGACTGCCAGCACTGACTTCCAGGTAAGTGAGTAAAGTCAACTTAGATCATCCAGCCACAGCAGAGTCACCAGAGCACTGCAGTCACATGGATGATGCCAGCTGATGCCAGAGTACTGCCGATCTGAACCCAGCCTAAGCTGCTGACCCACAGAATCACAAATACCTAAAACAGTTTTTGTTCTAAATTACTAAATTTGGGATAGCTGTTATACCGCTAAATAACAGAAACACTCAGAATCCTCATATCAATCTCAGGAAACGATCTAATTGGCCCATGTTGGGTCTTATGCTCACCTCTTGGATCAACCATTGTTCCCAGTGGGAACAAGACAAGCCTAGAGATGAGACATTATGATCAACAACCCTACCAGAATCATTTATCATGAAAGGGAGAAACGGAAAGGTATTGTATGAAACAATAGCTGTCCAGTAGTGCCAGCCTTGTTCTGGTGAGTGCAGTGGGATGGGGCTGGGACCTACAGGAGGATACAGGCAGGGTCAGGAGCTGAGAGAAAGTCCAAGTAGAACGTAGTGACCAGCAACTGTGAGTTCCCTGTGGAAGAGATCTGACTCTTCCTTATGATTGAATCCCTAGCTCCCAGTACATTTTGGATGGGTAGATGAATGGGTGGATGTGTGGATTGTAATATCCAGGATGGCAGGAAGTCCAACACTGCCTCAACTGTTGAGAAGAACACAGCAAGAGGAATCCAGAAACTGGTAAATGCAGCAATTCCCAGGTTCCTGATCACCAGAGAAAGAAGCACAAAAAAGAGGACTGGCTTCTGTCCTTGGTGTTTCCAGAGGCAGTCACTCCCAAGGGTTCTCTAGAGTAAGGAGCACATCCCTGGGCCTTGAGACCTGATGCACTGACCTAAGCCCTGCCCACCCTTCTTCAGCTGACTGGTCTTAGACGGAAAAGAAGTGGGAGGCCAGTGCCTGTTTCCTGAGAGGTCTCTGTTGGAACAGAAACGGCTGCCAATCCCTGCAGAACCTCACCCAGACACCTCCACGGGGCCTCATCTTTGCCACCTCACCTTGCTGTGCCCAAAATTTATTTACCTCATAACTGCAAGTTTGTACCCTTTGACCAAAATCTCCATATTTCTTCCACCCCCTTCCAGTTACCCCTGCTCTACCCCTACATTCTGCTCTGTTTCTATAAGTTCATCTTTTTTAGATTCTATATATAAGTGATAACAGATAACACTTGTCTGTCTCTATGTGACTTATTTCACCCAGCATAATGCCCTCAAGTTCCGTCCATGTTACAACAAATGGCATATTTCCTTGTTTTTCGTGGTTGAATAATATTCCATTGTATATATATATATATATATATATATATATATATATGTATACCACATTGTCTTTATCTGTTCACCTGTTGGCAAATGCTTGGGCTTTTTTCTATGTCTTGGCTATTGTGAATAATGCTTCAGTGAACACGGGAGTGCAGATATTTCTTCAAGATCCTGAGTTCATTTCTTTCAGATGTATAACCAGAACTATGATTGCTGAGTTAGATGGTCTCTATTTTTATTATTTGAGGGACCTCCATACTGTTTTCCATAGTGGCTGCATCGGTTTATATTTCCACCAACAGTGTGTGAAGGTTTCCTTTTCTCCACGCCTTCTTCGTTTGTTATTCATAGACTTATTGATAATGGCCATTCTGACTGGGGGTGTGCAGGCAAGACATCCCCAGCAGTTCATGGACTAGCTTCTTGATGGAGCCCACAATGCACTTAGAATCTGCATCCCTTTAGTGCCCCTAGGAGTCCTATCTCTTCCTGCTCCCTACTCACATAGATCATGATTCAGTATTCTGGATGTAATGAGAGAGAAATTAGCCCTTTGAGGAGCACCTCACACAGCTAAGGAGCATCACTCACATGCTCTCACTTTGCCCTGTAGAAGAAATCACAGGCCTGAGGAGATGTTGTTTATTCCTTAGCTATGCCACCTCAGGGGAGGGATGATGAAATTCAAAGGTGTTCCTCTTACTCACGCCAATACATCCAAAAGCATATATTTTTTGTTAGAACAGAGTGCTAGAATTTCTTCTCTGGAACCTGGACTTCCACAAAGGGTCTCTTGTCTGTGGATGACTGTCTGAGATAGTGCTTTCTGGGGACTCCCATACCATGGATGAGAGCAGCTGGAGCCAGTTCATGGGCCACTGTAAGATCCACAGCCAGGACCAAGGTCTGTATGCTCATTACCCAACAAGTCAGCAAGGTAAGACTCTTTCTGAATCCTTTGGTATATGGTACTGGATCCCAGAGCTCCCACAAAGGCACTTCTGCCCATTTATGGATGTCAAATTGTTGTTATGGAGAGTGGATTATACATGAGGGATGTCTTACTCAGCTAGGTTGTTGATGTCACTCCATCAATTTTGGTTTAAAAAGCCAACTATTCCCCTCTGGTTACAATGTTGATGAGGCTGTCATGTAAAACCAATCACCTTTCTCCCTGGAATTTAAATCTTGAGAAAGTGAAAGAAGACCTAGAAACATTCTTCATTAATTTTTTTCTGCTTGGACTCATCCATCCCAGGAGATGTTCATGTTCTGTGGCTCTATGAACACTGTTCCAGTAAATCTCTTTTTTTGCTCAGGTTACCTACAGTTGGTTTTTATTGCTTACAACCAAAAGATCCTAACTCCTACATTGGAATGTTCAGAAGTTGTGTTAGCTTTCTATTGCTGCATGACAGAGTATCACAAATGAAATGACTTAAATCAACACAAATTTATTACCTCATAGTAATGTAGGTCAGTCCAAGCACAGTGGGAGAGGGTTCTCTGCTTAGGTGCTTATGCGGATGAAATCAAGGTGTTGGCTGGGGCTGCAGTTCTCATCTGAAGCTCAGGGTGTTCTCCCAAGGCTATTGACAAAATTTATTTCCAAACAAATATAGAACTAGATCTCTATTTTCCTGCTAATGATTATCTAGGGACTGTCTCAGATCCTAGAGAATATCTGCATTCCCTTACTACATGGCCCCTGTAGGCAGTTCACTGCCTAGATGTTTGCTTCCTCCTAGCCCAACCAGAGCACACCTCTCTGACTTACTCTGCAATCACCTTGAGAAAATTCTGCTTTTTTGTGTAATTTTATTTATTTGTTTGTTGGCTGTGCTGGGTCTTTGCTGCTGTGCTCAGGCTTTCTCTGGTTGCGGTGAGTGAGGTTTATTCTCTAGTCTGGGCACCTGGCTTCTCATTGTGGTGGCCTCTCCTGTTGCAGAGCACAGGCTCTAGGGTCCCCAGGCTTCAGTAGCTGCAGCACGTGATTGTGGTGTGTGGGCTTAGCTGCCCCATAGCGTACGGCACCTTCTGGGACCAGGGATTGAACCCACGTCCCCTGCACTGGCAGGTCAATGCTTAACCACTGGACCACCAGGGAAGTCCAAGAAAACTCTGCTTTCAAAGGGTTCACCTGATTGAATCTGGGCCACCCAGGATAAAATAATATAATCACAGGAGTGATATCTCATCATAGTCACATGTCCTTTTCATAATCAAGGAGGTAATGAGAGGCATACACACCAAAGGATGGAAATCTTGGAGGCCAATTTATGATTTTTGTCTCCCACAGAAGAGCTATGGGAAAAGATGCTTCTTTCTCTGTGAGGATCACAGAGGATCTCTGTGAGGTATGCCTGATATCCAGTCCATCTTTCTCCCAAATGGAGGAAAATTGCTGGGGAATGAATCTACTCCAGAGGAGGGCAGAACAAGAAATCTGTAATGACAGGTTGAAAACTTACTGCATCCACTGAGAACCTGGATGATGCCATACCTAAAGGCCTGCCCACGGGCTTTTCCATTTCATAAGCCAATAACCTCTCTCTTTTTTTACTTGCTTATTTCTAACTTTATTTTCTCTTCATATATATTTTTTTACTGAAGTATAGTTGACTTACAAATGTTTCAGGTGCACATAAAGGTGACTCAGTTACACATAAACACGTATACTATTTTTGAAATTATTTTCCATTATACATTATTACAAGATATTGACTACAGTTCCCTGTGTTATACAGTAAATTTTTGTTGCTTGCTGCATATCTACTTTTTCCATTAGAAATCTAACATTCTATTCATATAAGAGCTTTCCTGGTGGCTGACAGTAAAGAATCTGCCTGCAATACAGGAGACCTAGGCTTGATCCCTGGGTTGGGAAGATCCCCTGGAGGAGGAAATGGCAACCCACTCCAGTATTCTTGCCTGGAGAATCCCATGAACAGAGGAGCCTGGCTGGTACCGTCCATGGGGTCACAAAGAGTCAGACACAACTGAGAAACTAAGCACAGCACATTCATACTAAGTTAAACAAGTGGAATCAAAATGTCATGAATTTCTTAGTTAAACAAAAATTCATAAGTTTTCTTATATATATATATATATATATATATATGTTATTTATATATTTGTTGTTGTTGTTCAGTCGTCCAGTCATGGCCGACTCTTTGCAACCCATGGACTGCAGCACGCCAGGCCTCCCTGTCCTTCACCATCTCCCAGAGTTTGCCCAACTTCATGTTCATTGCATTAGTGATGCCGTCCAGCCATCTCATCTTCTGACGCCCTCTTCTCCTTCTGCTGTCAATCTCCCCTAGCATCAGGGACTTTTCCAATGGGCCATCTGTTCACATCAGATGACCAAAATACTGGAGCTTCAGCACAAAATCTTGTCTACTACATTTGATTTAAAGTCCTGAGAAAGAACATTAAAGAGAGATGGAGAAATTGGAAAACATAAACTAAATAAAATAGGAGCCCTGAATGTGAAACAGAAAAAAGTGAAAAAAACTTAGATAAAAGTAAAAGATCATCATATAGTCCATTTGTTTTTAAACATGGCTGCTCATTAGAAACATATCTGGAGGTCTGGAGAGAAAAAGCAATACCTGGACATTTGTATTCTTCAAAATATTCCAAGATAATTCTGAAATGCATCTGAATTTCAAAAATGATTACAGGTTTTTCTATTAAATGGTAGTTTTGGTGATGCAGAGTTTTATTATTTTTCTGTTGACCAATCATGATAAAATGGTATTAAATAACTGTTACATAATCACAATAGTAAAAGAGGTTTATCAGTTTTCACAATCAATAGGAAGACAAAAATTAAAGATGATTACAATTGCAAGCCATAATGGGAACATGATTAATCTAACAAAATAAAATAATTACGTACAATTTGGTGGGGTCAACCAGAGTGATGTGGTAAGTGGAAGTACGTACACGCACATGTTCTCATCCACCCAGACAGTCTTTGTCTTTGGGTTGGTGCATTTAATCCTATTACCATTTTTTAAATTGTTTTGAGTTTATTTTCTGTAGGTCTTTTCCTTCTGTGGGCTTCCCTGGTGGTTTGGATGGTAAAGAATCTGCCTGCAATTCAGAAGACCTGGGTTAGATCCCTTCATTGGGAAGATCCCCTGGAGAAGGGAATGGCAATCCACTCCAGTATTCTTGCTTGGAGAATTCCATGGACAGAGGAGCCTGGTGGGCTCCAGTCCACAGGGTCGTAAACAGTAGGACACGACCAAGCGACTAACACACATTTTCCTGCTCTTGTGTTTCCTGCCTAGAGAGGTTCCTTTAGCATTTATTGTAAAGCTGGTTTGGTGGTGCTGAATTCTCTTAACTTTTGCTTGTCTGAAAGTTTTTGATTTCTCCATAAAATCTGAAGGAGAGTCTTGCTGGGTAGAGTATTCTTGATTGTAAGTTCTTCCCTTTCATCACTTTAAATATATTGTGTCATTCCCTTCTGGCTTGAAGAGTTTCTGTTGAGAAATCAACTGATAGATAGCCTGATGGGAGTTCCCTCGTATGCTATTTGTCATTTTTCCCTTGCTGCTTTTAATATTTTATCTTTGTCATTAATTGTCAGTTTGATTACCATGTGTCTTGGTGTGTTCCTCCTTGGGTTTATCCTGCCTGAGACTCTCTGTTTCCTGGACTGGTTGACTATTTCCATTCCCATGTTAGGGGAGTTTTCAGCTATTGTCTCTTCAAATATTTTCTCAGGTCCTTTCTCTCTCTCCTTTCCTTCTGGGACCCCTAAAATGAGAATGTTGGTGCATTGAATGTTGTCCCAGAGACCTCTTAAGCTGTCTTCATTTCTTTTCATTCTCTTTTCTATATGCTGTTCTTCGGCAATGATTTCCACCATTCCATCCTCCAGGTCATTTATCCATTCTTTTGCCTCAGTTATTCTGCTATTGATTCCTTCTAGTGTTATTATTCATCTCTGCTTGTTTATTCTTTAGTTTTTCTAGGTCTTTGACAAGCATTTCTTGCGTCTTCTCCATTCTTTTCCCAATATCCTGAATCATCTTCACTATCATTATTCTGAATTCTTTTTCTGGAAGGTTACCTATCTCCATTTCACTTAGTTGTTTTCCTGGGGTTTTATCTTGTCCCTTCATTGGGGACATAACTTCCTGCTTTTTCATCCTGAATAAGTTTCCGTCATGCAGTTTTTGTTATAGCTGCTGTGGGATTGTGGTTCTTCTTGCATCTTCTGTCTTCCCTTTGTTGGAAGAGGCTAAGAAGCCTGTGTAAGCTTCCTGATGCGAGGAACTGGCTATGGGAAAAACTGAGTCTTGCTCACTTTTACTTGCTCAGTAAAGCTTTAACCCAATTATCTGCTGATGGCTGGGGTTGCACTCCCTCCCTGGTATTTGTTTGGCCTGAGGCAACTCAGCCCTGGGGTCTGTGGGCTCTCTGGTAGGGTTAGTGGTGACCTCCAAGAGGGCCTATGCCATGGAGGACTTTCCGGGTCTGCTGCTAGTGCCCGCATCCCTGTGGGGGGCCCCTCCACAGGGTGCCCCTCCAACACTAACAGGTAGTCTTGGTTCAGTTTCCTGTGTGGTCACTGCTCCTTTCCTCTGGGTCTTGGTACACCCAAGATTTTGTTTGTGCCCTCCAAGACGCCAGTCTCTCTTTCCCCCAGTCCTGTGGAAGTCCTATAGTCAAACTCCTTTGGCCTTCAAGGTCAGATTCACCAGGGATTCCTAGTCTCTTTGTTGGATTGCCCAGGCTGGGAAGCCTGACATGGGGTTCAGAACCTTCACCACAGTGGGAGAACTTCTTTGGTATTGTTCTCCAGTTTGTGAGTCACCCACCTGGCAGATACGGGATTTGAATTTATCATGATTGTGCCCCTCCTACATTATTGCTGCAGTTTCTTCTTTGTCTTTGGATGTGGGATATCTTTCTTTGGTGGGTTCCAGTGTCCTCCTGTTGATGGTTGTTCAACAGTTATTTGCGATTTTGGTGCTCTCACAGGAGGAAATGAGTGCACGTCCTTCTACTCCGTCATCTTGAACCAGAAGCCACCAATAACTTCTCTTAAGCTATTTGCTTTATATTCTGTACCTTGCATTTGAAGCAGCCTTGAATATTACAGATGCTTAAAATGCAGAACCATTAAAGACATGTTTGTAAATTTCATAATTTTACTTGGGTCTAATCTGTGGGAGTTTTACTTAAGGGGCCCCTCCCTTCAAAAGATTATTTGTCCTTAAGAAAATTAAGTCACAATTTTCTTTAATGAGACATTGAGGAAATGCATACCTAATGTTCAAACACAAGAAAAACATAAATGAAAAGACTGCACAAGGATATAAAAGATTTTTAAAATTATAAGAGATGGTAAAAATAAGCTAGGGTATGGGTAAATTAAAGAGATACTATCAAGGGATGATATAACCTACTGAATATCACTGTTGATGGTCAAAGACCTTCCACCAGAAAAAAAACTTTTTCTGCTTTGGGGATGCCTGTGTGTCACTTTCATATATATTGTCATGCTCAATCTTCATGATGATTCATGCTTAATCTTCATGATTGACTACTCGTAAGGTAGTCAATACGGGTATATGGTTTCCACCTTATAGTTAAGGAAACTAAGATTCAGAAAGATTGGGCAAGTTACTTAAACTTGCCCCAAGGTCACAAAGTTGGTAGTGGCCAAATAAGGACTAGAACTCAGCTTTTCTGCGTGCTGGTTCATGGCAGTGGGAGAACATGAGCTTTAAAACAGCTGGACCTCAGTTCAAATTCCAGTGCTACCATTAACTACCTGCCTGACTATTGACTACATTAATAATGTTTGAAACTCCTCGCTCTAAATGGGCTAACAATGGACTCATTGAACTGTTGGAGGAAGGAATACAATGATATTTGTTATGTCCATGATATAGAAGGTGTTGGAAAGAGTTATTCCTTTTGAAGTCTTTCAAAGGAGGTGAGATCACCATAGTTGCCTGGGGAAAGGACCCCAGAGAGTTGTTAAATGTTCGGGGCAGATTATGGAGGCAAAATCTTTCTAGGAATGGTAAGGGGGTGGTCCCAGCATCTGTGGAGAGGGTGGGAGACAGAGAGGAGCAGATGAGGGATGAGGTAGGCAAGTCCTCAGAAGGGGAAGCAAGGCCCCATGCTATGCGCCCTCTTTCGCATCCTGCAGCTCTTGAACACCAGGTCAGAATTTAGGGTACCTGCCTCCTCATGTTTGTTATGAACATGTGATTCCAGTTCCTGGACTGGTTTGGATAATATGTTTAGCTTCAGTAGTCTCATAAAGTCCACTCCTGGAAGCAACAGATGAATGGATAAAGAAGACGCAGTACATATATACAATGGAATATTACTCAGCCATAAAAAAGAGTGAAATAATGCCAGTTGCCACAACATGGATGGACCTAGAGATTATCATACTAAGTGAAGTCAAACAAGGACAGATATATGATATCACCTATATGTGGAATCTAAAAAGATGTTGCAAATGAATTTATTTACAAAACAGAAACCCTCACAGACTTAAGAGAATGAACTTACAGTTACCAAAGGAGAAAAGGTGGGGGGAGGGATAAATTAGGAGTTAGAGACTAACACATGCCCGCCACTACATATGAAATAGATAATCAACAAGGATCCACTGTCGAGCATAGGAAGCTCTACTCACTATTCAGTAATAAACTATATGGGGAAATAACCTGAAAGAGAATGGCTGTATGTACTTGTATAACTGAAGCACTTTGCTGAAACTAACTCAGCATTGTAAATCAACTGCACTCCAGAATAAAAGGAAAATTAAATTTTTTAAAAAGTCTGCTCCTAGATATCTGAGCAAACACAAAATTGTCCTCTGAAATGAGCAAGCTTCAAACTATGAGATGCCAGTACATCTGAGAACCCAGTTCACAACTATATTAGAATCAGTGAATGTTCTCATGTTCCTTGCCTCAGCCAAGGCTTAGACTTACTTCTGACCCTACCAAATGGCCTTCGCTCAGCATGGTGCCACAGAGAGCTGCTACTGTAGGAATGCACGGATAGGGATCTTCTCCCAGCTTTGTCTTTAATTTGCCATGTGACCTCAAATCACTTTCTCTGGGTCTTGGTGTCTTCAGTCATAAGATGAAGGAGCTGAATTTTTAGGTGGATTTTCCATTCCTTGATTCTGAAAAATATCCTGAGAAACAAACAAAGATATTTGGTTCCCGTGTCAGAAAAGCAGCACTTGGAGGGCTATTCAATACCACGAGACCTGGTGCAGTGCCTTGCATATACTTGAAGCTCAGTATGTGCTTGTTACATAAAGAGTGGTCTTGATTTGTATTTGTAATTTAAACATAAAAAAGCACCTTTCTTCTCTCCTTAAAAAAGAGATGAAAGGACTGAACTAGATGCCCCTCCCAAGCTGTCCTCTATCCAGAACTTATGTTTAGGGTTAATTATTCCTGCCTCCCCAGTGCCCCACTCTGCTTCAGCCCTGCCCACTGTCATCTGCCCCCTAGGGGGAGACACAGGGTCATATGTGTGCTGCCACAAGTACATCCTGGGTGCTGTGATCCTGCTGCTCCTTGCTGGTCATCCACACTGACCCAAGGGCAGGCAGGGTGACCAAGATTCCATACAAGGGTCTGAATGTTGGTTTCAGAGGTCTGCCAGGCCTGACTGTGCTGGAGGTGCTCTGACTTCATGCAGATCAGTTTTGTCATCTGCAAAAGGGAAGGACTGACTGAACTTGC